GTGGGATAAAATAATGATACAGACTCTGAGTCATGGAATACTAGAGATGGAAGGGACCCTGAGGATCTGGAGCTTGGTTTTCCTCATTCAAGCCCAAGAGATCCATCTACTGCAGTCAGACAACTTCCATCCCTCCCTCATTCATTCATGCAGAACGTAATTATGTGTGTCAGGCACTGTAAAGGGCAAACCCCTTTAGGGGGTTTATCAAGGAAGGAGGCTGTGTCAGGAGGCTGGAGGACTATGCTATTGTTAGAAATTAATTTCATGGTCTATTAGAAGGACTTTCAAGCTTCTTAGTGCTGACCTGGGGGTTTTGTGGGTAACCATCTGGCTGGGGATGGAGGGAGGGGAAGGGCTCTGAACCCCTTACCTCCTCTTCAACGGGCTCCACATTCATTTTCATTTGACTTTATCTGAAGAAAGGCCCCTTGATTGGAAACAGTGTGAAAATCCCTGGCTGCCCTAAGAGTGACCAGTAATGAACAAAGGACAAACAGGAGGCGTGAAAAGGACTTTAGTCCTCAGAACTCTGACGCAGGGTTAACTGTGCACTAGAGGGTGATGCTCTGTTCCACGCACTTCCCTGCCTATTCTCCGGGAACACAGGAGGATGAACTGACATGCCAAAGAGAACAGAAGGGAATGAAGCACCAGCACCAAAGGGGAATGTGATTCTAATTTAGGAGTAAGCTGAACCGTGTTTATTTTTGGCTAAATAAATTAGAGAAACCAACCGGAAGGTATCTCCAACTCTGTCGTGGAAGTAGATGAAATTGTCATGGTCAATCATTAAGAGATCTCCACTGTTGAAATAGATGTCTCCTTTCTTAAAGACATCTCTCAGTTTTTTCTTCTCTGTCTGAGTTTTTCCCCCAGCATAGCCACTAAATGGTGTAAGCTGTGTGATCTTGCAAACCAGGAGTCCAACTTCACCTAAGACAAAAGAAAGCAAATTATTATTTTATGGGCTGGAGGTAAGCACATTTATAGATCAACCTGTGCTTAAAAGGATGCCATGCAACCCACTAGCAATAAGCTGGCTGTAGGAAGTGTCATTTTCCATGCATGTGTTGTATGTGGGTGTGCGTGCATCATATACACACAAACATAACCACACACGTACACATTATTTTATACAGCTACACACCTGCAATTGTTTTAATGCTGATTCTATATTGAATAATGATTTACACACAGTTAGACAAATGCACAGTAGTTAAAGCTTACACTAAAGACCACCTAAAGCTAAGCATAGTTTTGCAACCATAATTGCATATCCCTTCCTATAAAACACTGCATAAGCACGAAGTTATTAAGCTAGGGTAAAAATGGTAATTATATTACTATAGTATAAATTAGCACCTTTTAGAATTTCTGTATTTCCGAGGATACTTAAACACCTCATTTGCCCCACTTTGCTAAATTTTACCATTTGGTAATAATACATGAGTCTTTAAATGTCACTTGGTCAAGATAAGAAAGGGCACAGGTTGAATCCTCCGTACCTTTAGGAACTCTGATGCAGTATCCATTTCCATCACGGACAGGTTCATCTTTCTCCACATCGTATTTAATCAGGTCATAACTTATGACTTTCTAGAAAAATTACAGTATGTCATTTTGAGTACACCTATTTTAGAATTGTTTCTTTTTTATTGCAGTATAACATACATAATGTACACATATCTTAAGTGTACAAGTTGGTGAGATTTTGCATTTGTATGCGCCGTGTAACTACCCCCCAGAACAAGATAGAAAACATTTTCATTTCATCTAAAAAGTCTCCTCTTGCCCTTTTCTGTGAAGTTAACTACTATTCTGACTTTTATTACTATCAGTTAATCTTAGACCTCAAATAAAAAAAAAAACCATATGCCTTAGTGTTTGTTTCTTTCACTCAGTGAGTCTGTGATATTCATTCATCCATATTGGTCCTTCTGATCATGGTTTATTTTTTATTGCCATGTAATTTTCACTTGCATAAATATGCCACAATTTACTGACCCATTTTCCTGTTAATGAGAGTTTGGATTATCTCAAGTTCTGGACTATTAGAAATAAAGCTGTTACAAACATTCTTGGTCACTATGAAAGTTTAGAGCCAGACTGTGTTATAGTCCATAATTTCACTCCCAAGAAACAGTTGACAGCAGTATCCTTTCTGATTCACCTGGGCCAGTTTCAACTTGATTGGCTTATCAGTGTTGCTGGGAGGGCTTCGTTGGTTTACATTTCTTGATTTTTTTGTGTACCTCATAACTTTTGTGATGACCCATATACATGTCTTTTGATGGATGTATCACAAATGGCTTTTAAAAATCTTACATAATGTGGCTCGGCGCCCATAGCTCAATGGTTAGGGTGTAGGCCACATATACCGGGCCTGGTGGGTTTGAACCCAGCCCGGGCCTGCTAAACAATAATGACAACTTCAACAACAAAAAAAATTAGCTGAGCGTTGTGGTGGGTGCCTGTAGTCCCAGCTACTTGGGAGGCTGAGACAAGAGAATCGCTTAAGCCCAAGAGTTCGAGGTTGCTGTGAGTTGTGATGTCACTGCACTCAACCACTAAGGGTGACATGGTGAGATTCTGTCTCAAAAAAAATCTTATAGAACCCTATATTAATATGCCTTTATTATATGTTTCGCATTGCCAAGAAAGTGCTATCCTATATATTTAAGAATCAAAGGCATAATGATTATACTTCATGCCCATAACTACAAAATTATTAAATCGTGTCATATTTAATATAAAATTCAATGGCATAAAGATTTAAATTTCAATACTTCGTTAAGAGTAATAAGTATATTATTATTCCCATGGGCAGAAAAATGCAAATATGACAGTATTTGGATGCAATTATTAGTCCTGATTACTGTGCCCATTGCAACTTTATGTTCAAGTCTATAGGGTAAAGCAAGCAATCATACGCTTTTTATAGCAGCTTATTAAAAAACAAGTGGCATTTATGGTCAACAAATGCAGATCTTATTTATATGCTAGAATGCCAAACATTTCTGGGTGGTAACTAGTGCTTCTTTCTACATAAAATTTTTATTTATTTAGAGACAGAGTCACCCTTAGTAGAGTACTGTGGTGTCATAGCTCATAGCAACCTCAAACTCTTGGGCTCAAGTGATTCTCTTGCCTCAGCCTCCCATGTAGCTGGGACTATAGGCACCCACCAGAATGACCAGCTATTTTTAGAGATGGGGTTTTACCAGCTCAGGCTGGTCTCGAACTGTGAGCTCAGGCAATCCACCTGTCTCGGCCTCCCAGAGTGCTAGGATTTTGGGCATGAGCCAAATTTTTTTTTTAAATGTTGTTTTGTTTAAAGTTTAAAAACTGACAATGAAATATGGCAATCAATGGATGAGAAAGCAAAGAATTAGTAACACAGGCGGTCCCCAGGTCATGGACAAGGCAGTAATACGGGCGGTCCCCAGGTCACAGACAAGGCAGTAATACAGGCGGTCCCCAGGTCATGGACAAGGCAGTAATACGGGCGGTCCCCAGGTCACAGACAAGGCAAGCTCTGCAGGTCGAGTTTGTATGTAAGTTGAACAGGTACTTTTACCTATTACCTGTAACAGCCTCAGTTAGTAAGTGTGACTCATATAACAGTTGGGCGTTTGTAATCTGGGTGCTGCCTATACGCACCACTCGCTCACCCTCTCAGCGGTGGTCGTGAGGGGGAGTAGGACATGGACTCTGTCACAGCGCTGCCAGTGGGGTTGTCTGTGACGATGGAAACGTTCTACATCTGCACTGCTCCACGTGGCAGTCACTAACCATATTTGGCTATTCAACACTTGGAACAGTTAGTGTGACTGAGGAACTGAACTTAAACTTTGATTCATGCAGCTTAAAATAGCCATGTGCTTGGACAGGGTTGGAGGGCAGTGGGGGAATCTGTGTAGCACAGATTTGGCTGTCATTGCTGGAGTGTCTTGAGATCAGGCAAGATTACAAGAAAAGGAATGATAATTATCATTACAGCAAACAAATATTCATCATATGATGGGCACTAGGCTACGGCCTCTAAGGGCTTTTTCATGAGTTGTTTAATTTAACCATTTCAACAATGCCTTTCCCTTACTGAATGACGGGGAGGCAGGCACTGGGCTCCATAGGCTCCATAGGCTCCATATTTTCTGTTTCTGCCTTGTTTTACAGATGATGGAATTGAGGCCTAAGGAACATAAGTTACTTGCCCAAGGTCACTCAGCTAGCATGTGGAAGGGCTGAGATTTGCTCTCCAGAGCCAGAGCTCTTATGCACACTGATTACTGTTCTCTGTATTCTGCTGGTCTGTCCCTGAGGACCCAGGTTGCTTGGAGTTCCAGTATGGCTGTTGCATGACCAGGCAGTATGAGCTGTGACCAGCCAAGGGAGGCTCAGCATTTGTTCAGAATTCCTGGAAGTTTGTAGAATAGTTGGTTATCTGGAAGACTGACTGCTTGAGCTCAAAAAGACAACA